TAAACACAATAAGTACTCACGTTCTTTAGTTTCACACCTTTCTCCATAATAACCATCTAAACAATTGCAAATAACTTTATTGTCTGATCCCACTTCACAACTTGATGATCTGTTATTACATGGACATAATAGACAGGAACCTAATGGCCTAGACAAACCGTAATAGAAGTCTTTATAGTACCCTGGAGAACAGGATTCACAGGATGATCCACGATATCCAACCGGACACTGACAGAATTCAACAGTAGTAGCTCTAGGTCTTCCAGTATACTGCTCGACAGCAGTTTCTAAAGTTACATCACTGAGATACGCTGTACTGGTATCGCTTGATTGTGTGGCTCTAATTAAGATGGAGTCGATATTAGCAAGAACCATAAGAATGTCTTCTCGGGAGGCTGGTTTTAATCCACCTGCCTGCTCTACACGGAACCAGTTGGTACTTGGATGGAGTGGGATGGACACAGGCTAATAAAATAAACAGATGTTGATCGATTGATGCTTTGTCTATTTTTTTTTGACACTATTAATAATGAAATTATATTAATGATAGTGATAATGGTGTATTAACTTAATTTGTGATTTTGTAGATATTTGAAATAAAAATAGCAATCAAGAATGTGCCGACACAGTGAGGCAGTGAAGTCGCCAATAATTTAAGACAGGTAATTAATTAAGTTAATCGTATTTATTTCAATTTTATGTTGTATTAATTTCATTCATTGTTATAATTAATAATAAAGTGATGTCCAATGTTTAGAGATAATAGCCGCAATTTTAAAAACTAATAATTTCAAATTTGGCATTCCAAAATTTTTTACAGAATTAGTGAAGAGTGATTTCAGTTTTAGTCGTAGGTAGGAGATTTATCAGTTGTCATCTCTGTTATAATTATAGTTATATTTATATCAAAATAAAAATATGAAAAAAATGGCTAATCAAATCAAAACTAATTCTTTTAATATTGTAGAAGATTTAGATAAGCTTCCTGTAATAGAAGAAATTTTTATGCAAGATATGACACATTCTAATAGATAACAATCAATTTATAAAAATGCGTATATGATTATCTATCTACAGGCGGTAAATATGTAATTCAATGGAAATTGTTACCCCTGTTGTTGCTGAACAAGCCATGTTACATCATTTAATATAAAACTCAAAGTAACAACTACATTCTACGTTAGCAATCAGCAGATAAAGACTATTTTTTTGTTAATAGGAAATATGCATATTTATTTCAAATTATAGAATTTGTGTAGCAAAAATCACGAAAATAGAATGAAGAAGTGTAACACTTGTTTATTTTTTAATAAGTATTGTAATAATAGGTATCAATATATTTTATTATGAAATGAAAAACTATCATGGCTGTTTTGAATCAAACCTCAGCTGTTCACATGGAATGCGCCAGCCAAGTGTTTATTTGCCCTTGAGATAATGTAATTTATGAATATATAATGTAGCCCGGAATGCCGAAACTAAGAGAGGGTATTCTTTGTGAAAGTGGTGCCTGGCCAGCGCCAAAATAAGGTTGATATTATACATGTGTGCTAGCTTGAATGATTTGTGAATTTGTGAGTAATATGCCATACTCGTTTATGTTTTTGAAAACCCCAGGGCGCACTATGTGTTCCCGGTCTTAATGGCTGTGGTTCCTTCGAAGTGTGCCTTGTAGGTTCTACGGGGTCTTACATGCGCTTCGATTGACACATACTGGGTGGTGCTGAGGTAGGTGTTATAATACACCCGGTAGTTGGGATGTTAACTAGTTGGCATCCGGGGGAGCCTCACTTATTTCAGGTGACACTATACTCCGCGGTCGAAATTATAGAGAGTGACTCATCGCTAGCTTTTGGACTAGTAAGGGGGATGAAGCGTGCCAGGAACGAAAATCCATTGGCGTGTCTGCATAAAAGGCAACAAGATATAGAAAATATTGAAAAAAGATAATACAACATAACATCTAATATTTTTTACGGTTTGCTATAACCGGCACTTTGATCCATTTTAATTATTACAGCATTTTAAAACGTCCCAGTTGTGTTTTTTTAATTTATAAATTTATTATAGCCATGGAATTAGACCCCTCGTCTACGCTTATGCTATGACGTTTCTCAGGACGGGTAAATCAAGTCCGTTTACACCCACTAAAAAAGCATTTCCCTATTCCCTACCAAGTGCAAAAGACAGAGATAGAATATAGATCGACGTTCAGTGTAACTCAGTCTATAGACGATTATAGATTATATCGATGTGCGTAGCGAGCGGCACAAAGATAAATAATATTGAACCATATAAAAATCATTTTATATTTTATACGCATTATGGTAATAGTGTTTTTATATTATGTCTGAGTCACTCTCTATTTTCGACCGCGGAGTATAGCTAGTTGTTGAGGAAAGAATTGTACATGTTTGTTAATTAATATAATGGAAACGTATTAAAGGATGTACCTCGAATCCGAAAGTTAGGGGGAATGTACCCCCTGGTGAGTTACCTATTTATTTGTTTTTTTATCGATAGAACAGTAACTTTGATATTTGTTTCATATACCCTCTTAATTTCTGGCGAAAGACTCAGTTGTTGTCGAGATAAACTGCTTTGTGATGACCCATGTATAAAAGGTAACAATACCAACAATAACATCTATTTTACAGAAGTTAACTGTAATTTAAAAATATCAGAATTGATCAAATTTTTCTTTAATTGTTATATGACTCATTTGTTTTTATTTTATTAGAATAGTATTGACATCAATAATTGTGATAATTTTAATTGAAGTTAAAATAAAGTATTCCAATATATTGCAAGTACTTACCAAAGAAATCTCGCTAAAATAAATTTTTTAGCGCAATAGCAGATTGATTTACTTGCAAAAGTGTCTACAAGGCTTTATGCACACAAACAAATTAAAACTGGTACTGACACTGCACATTGCTCTCTATTGCAAATTGCAAGTACCTAATCACTATATCAACAATTAAATATTGTGTTTTTATAATAAATTATAAAAATTTGTCAAGTTTTTTTCTTAAAGTTTTGTTGTTCAAAGTTTTAATTCTGCGAGTTCTTTTTTTTTACAATTATTATGTTATGTAATAGATCAGATCTATACAGGTATCTGAACAATGATTACTAATATGAGATTTAATCAAAATGTAACGGGAATTTTTGAAATTACGTGTGTTGTATCTTGTTTATCAAGTAAATTTTTTTGTATTGGTAGCACTGTTAGTGATGTACCCGTCAGTTTTGAGGCAGCTGCCATGTTTAGTTTGTGTTTTGCGAATGAATGAGTAAGACTTACCACAGTGTTTTTGGCAACTTTTTGTATGGGGAAATGTCAGATCAGAGACTTTGTCTAATATTTTTTGTTAAAAATGGAATTGATAAAGAAGATGATACTATGTCACAGCCATGAGTTTATCAATGATACAAATGTTTTCAGGAAGGTCAAGAAAACATTGAAGATGAGGTGAGATCTGGTCAAATGTGAAGATTCTTCCAAACGTTTTCCTCGACTACAATGGAATAGTTCATCATGAATTTTTACTGCCGAGTCGTACAGTTAACAAGGAGTACTACCTACAAGTTTTGCACAATTTGCGTGAGGTGAAACAGAACAACGTTGTGATGTCGCTACCACCCTATTCTGCGGATATGACCCCTGTGACTTTTTCCTGTTTCCTAAACTCACAACGATACTCAAAGGACATTTTTCAACAATAGATGAGATAAAGGTAAACTTGCAAACCACACTCAAGACGATATCTAAAGAGGCGTTCCACCAGTGTTTCTCAAACTACACTCACCGGCATGAAAAACGGAGCACTTGCATTTTTTTCAAACAATTCAGATGTTTTATTTTTCTAATAATGCAACCATAAGCAAAACAAAACTTTTTATACAATTTTCAAGAATGCTTTAAACAACGACCTCAGAAAGGATAGACAGTGCATTGTCTTGGTTTGTTTTGTTCTACTGTAAATATTTTGAGAACTCAGCCTCCTATTGGCTAAACACATGTGGTAACGTGTGCGCACAGTACTTGCTTTATGCTGGATATTTATTATTGTTTACGACTGTCGGCCGCCATTAATTCTTTGCGTCCTTAGTGAGTTTAACGTTGTGTTTACCGTGGATTATTAGTTTTTTTTGGCAGATTTTATTGTTTTTGTGAATAGACAATGGGAAAATATTGTGTTATATGTAGATTTCGCTTTAAAAGTGGAGGCAATCGATCTTTTCACAGGTAGGTAGATTTACCATGGGCGTAACAGATAACAGAAGCAACGGTAGTTTAAAACAAAATTTGAAATAGAAAATTTTCAGTGCAATAATATTGAAAATATAAAATATTTTTTTAAAACGTGAATTGTGTGTTACGGTTAAATAAAAAGTAACATGAATTGCAAAGGCAACATTATTTAAAAGGAAATATACCTAGGTAATTTGATTTTAGGATTCCTTCGAATGTTGAACGCCGAGACGTTTGGCTCTCTCGCATTTTGAGCTGTATAGGAAAGGAAAATAGTCCTAAAGATAGTGTTGTATGTTCAGATCACTTCACATCAAGTGATTTCTTAATAAGACCTGGTNTTACTAATATGAGATTTGATCAAAATGTAACGGGAATTTTCAAATTACGTGTGTTGTATCTTGTTTATCAAGTAAATTTTTTTTGTATTGGTAGTACTGTCAGTGATGTACCCGTTAGTTTTTAGGCAGCTGCCATGTTTAGTTTGTGTTTTGCGAATGAATGAGTAAGACTTACCACAGTGTTTTTGGCAATTTTTTGTATGGGGAAATGTCAGATCAGAGACTTTGTCTAATATTTTTTGTTAAAGAAGACGATACTATGTCACAGCCATGAGTTTATCAATGATATAAATGTTTTCAGGAAGGTCAAGAAAACATTGAAGATGAGGTCAGATCTGGTCAAATGTGAAGATTCTTCCAAACGTTTTCCTCGACTACAATGGAATAGTTCATCATGAATTTTTACTGCCGAGTCGTACAGTTAACAAGGAGTACTACCTACAAGTTTTGCACAATTTGTGTGAGGTGAAACACAACAACGTTGTGATGTCGCTACCACCCTATTCTCCGGATATGACCCCTGCGACTTTTTCCTGTTTCCTAAACTCACAACGATACTCAAAGGACATTTTTCAACAATAGATGAGATAAAGGTAAACTTGCAAACCGCGCTCAAGACGATATCTAAAGAGGCGTTCCACCAGTGTTTCTCAAACTACACTCACCGGCATGAAAAACGGAGCACTTGCATTTTTTTCAAGGAAAGCTTAAATTTCAAACAATTCAGACGTTTTATTTTTCTAATAATGCAACGATAAGCAAAACAAAACTTTTTAAACAATTTTCAAGAATGCTTTAAAGATTATTTGATAATTTTGCACAAACTTTATGAAAGCTAAATGATGTAGAAATCTTATTAAAAGTTCGTAGTGGGCTCTAGATATGCATGTTTTTAAATTGTTTTCTAAACGTCAAAAAGTTAAAAAAAGGTTGAAAGCAGTGTTGTGAGTTGTGTTGTGTTAGTTTAATTACATGAATAATGGCTGTAAATTCTGAAACAGCAGTTGTTATTGTTGCATTGATTCAAGATGGAAGAAGTCAGCGATGTTGCCCAACAATATCAAATATCGAATAGCACAGTCTATCACATTTATGGACGTTTTGTAGAAACTGGATCTTACAGGAGGCAACATGGAACTGGTCATCAACGAAGAACCATGATTGTTTTATTGTCATGCAACGCCTTCGGAATCGGCGTGCTACAGCTGTACAAATCAGAAAGCGGCTTCAATACAATCGAAATACCACCGTAAGTGAAAGAATAGTTAGACGCCAACCTGGAGAAGCGAATCTGACTAGTCGTAGACCTGCAACAGGACCGGAACTTCTTAGACGTCATCGCACGGCACGACTTCAGTTTGCTAGAAATCACCAGCTTTGGGGTGAAAACAAATGGGGTCGCATCTTGTTCACGGATGAGTCAAGATTTAGTTTGCGGTCTCCAGATGGTCATGAGAGAGTATGGCGAAGACCACAAGAACATTTTTTTTTTCCTATCATCATCATCATCATTTTTTTCAGTCCTAGAGTTGGATATCAAGGGGGTTCAGTTATGGTCTGGGCTGGAATTTCTCTGGAAGCGCATACGGAACTCTATATCATTCCAAGAGGCTCCCTCACAGCTGCTAGGTACATTGGTAAAATTCTCCAAGATTTTGTCGTTCCTTATGTCGGTTTTATGGGAGATGACTTTCTGCTAATGCATGATAATGCTAGACTCCATACTGCAAGAATGACAACAATATCTGAATGAGGTAAATAGTGCTGTTATGGAGTGGCCAACATTAAGTCCAGATGCCAACCCAATTGAGCATGTTCGAGACATACTTGGGCAACAAATTCGCAGTCAACTTCCTGCGCCACTAGCCTTAAATCAGCTTCAAGATGCTCTTGTGGAAGAATGGGAACTTATTACTCAAGAGGACATCAGGCACCTGATTTTAGGCATGCCTAGATGAATTAATGCAATAATTAGAAATCGTGGGGGTGACACTCATTATTGAAAAACTTTTACTGAACGGAGTTTTGGTTTGGTTATTTTTGCTTTAGTTTGCCGCAATACTTTCTTGCGTTTATTTGATTTTGTTCACATTTTATTATAAAATGTGTGACTGAGTGAATCATGAATAAATATTTTCTTATAAATGCATTTAAATCATAGAAAATATTTTGTATTGATGGTGTTTACACTAATAAAATACAAAAATATTACAATCAATTAAAAAATAAAATTTTAAAAAATGTGACTATTCCGTTTTCCGTGCCGGTGAGTTTAGAAACTACGTTGGAATAAGTGTATAATATCACAGAGGGTCTATTTTGAAAGGGATGGGATAAAAATTGAAGATTTCGTAAATACATTCTGTGAAAAAGTGTAAATAATTTTTTATATCCCTCTCTGCATATGCGATAAATAATCAACATCACCCCAAAACAAAACTGCTTGCTTCATCAACAGATTCAAGTTGCTATTACCCCACACATCTAAATTTTTATTTCTTTACTTGCCTTTTTGCATTTACATACATTAAAATGTTACTTACATTGGCAATATCATCCCTTAATTCTACAGGGTTGCTCCAATAGATAGTAATTCCGTTACCAATGATGATTACATCCTGATGTGGAACATATACAGCTTCTGGACGTTGGGTATATCTTTGGATAAACTCCAGTTTGCCTCCGTAGGATTTAATTTTGTTGCCAGTAAATATGCTAGGCAGGGACCAGAACCACCTCTCTCTTTGACTAGGTAAGAAATTGTAACTAATTTCAGTGAAGAACCCATTTACATTGAATTTGTCAGTGATTCTTGACCGGCCCAATCTATAAGAGACAATAATAAAAGATGATGGATAATACAGTAACGGAATCAATTTTTTCACAACCTGTCGGCATCATAAACAAGCATCTGTAACAATTATTCACTGCGCAACTCATACTTTGTTTTGTTCATGCAATAGAGTTAAATACACAGATTTAACACGTGAGGGAACTGATCCCTTTAAATTGTGGTAGACACAGGTTTGAACTGATTTTGCACTGATTTGTGTTTAACTTTATCGATGACTTACCAGTAACAAGAACATTTTTCTAATTTAAACAGACAAGTTATGTTTTCACTACAAGTAAGGCATCGAATTCACCAGATTTAAACATTCCTTTCTGGAATTTCTAGCAAATAGCTTGTTATATCTAAAATTGTTACTTAAGTTGTTGGTATTTCTTTGTTTAGATGAAAATAAAAATATTAGTTTTATACCAAGTGGCAAGATTTTATTCTTAATATAAACAAATTAAAATTTGTTTACAGTGAAAATTCATTTTCTCATTTTACATTATCGTCAACCAATTTTCTACCTTATAGATCAACTTAAAAATTGTTTATTTCAACTAGAAAGAAATCATTAAATTTTGAAGTACCCCTATAATTCTAAATAACAAAATTGTTATCCTATGCCGTATACATATACAGGGTGTCCCGAAATTAGGGGACAATATTTCTACAGGGTATTCTATGTCAAAAAAGATTACTTTTCCTTTATATAAACGTGGGTCCAAAAATTCTTCCTAGGGAAGTTATAACCACGTAAAGGGACCACTCTGATGATGGTTTTTTCTAAATAACTCCAAAACTAGGTGAGATAAATTTATGAAATTTGGTAACTATACTCGGCGGCCGAAATTATAAAGAGTGACTAATACATAATATAAAAACACTATTACCATAATGCGTATAAAATATAAAATGATTTCTATACAGTTCAATATTATTTATCTTTGTGCCGCTCGCCATGCACATCGGTAGAATCTATAATCGTGTATAGACTGAGTTACACTGAACGTCGATCTATATTTTATCTCTGTCTTTTGCACTTGGTAGGGAATAGGGAAATGCTTTTTTAGTGGGTGTAAACGGACTTGATTTGCCCGACCTGAGAAACGTCATAGCATAAGCGTAGACGAGGGGTCTAATTCCATGGCTATAATAAATTTATAAATTAAAAAAACACAACTGGGACGTTTTAAAATGCTGTAATAATTAAAATTGATCAAAGTGCCGGTTATAGCAAACCGTAAAAAATATTAGATGTTATGTTTTATTATGATTTTTCAATATTTTCTATATCTTGTTGCCTTTTACGCAGACATGCTAATAGATTTTCGTTCCCGGCACGCTTCATCTCCCTTACTAGTCCAAGAGCTAGCGATGAATCACTATCTATAATTTTGGCCATCGAGTATAGCTTAATTCTTATGTGATCAGTCCGCTACTAAAACGAGATTTACAAATTTTGATCACATACGTTCCAACACTGGAGGGGAGGGGGTATAATTTACCATAACTGTTTTATGTTTCGACTTTTTTCACTTTTTACTGAAAAGTATGACATTTCAGAGTTTTTAGTAAAAAAAAGGTACTCTTGGTTCAGATTGGCAGAATGTTCCATTTTTGTGTAAAATCCGTTTAAAAATTATGTTACATGTGTTAATCACCGAGAATCGAAATTGTCAATATTTTTCATCGTCGCAGGTTTTGAATATCAAAAACGCGTTTGGCATCATCTGCATTGACAGTTCAGTTATTTACATTTTGCAAATTATTATCCGTCAAAAATGCAAGATTTTACGAATGTAGAGCTGGAAATTCATAATACCCATTTCTGGTCAGACGAAAATCCACGGGCAATACGGCGCACAAATAAAAAAAAAATTGCAATAAATGTGCAGACAGGAATTTTAGGGGACCAGCTACTTGGACCAATTCAGTTTGTTCGAATGCAGGATACTTAAACTTTGGCTGCGAATCAACTCAGACAAAATAATTTTGAAGTTTTGAGGTCTTCAGGGGCAGTTTTACGTCGAGCTGAAAAATGTATTCAGCAAANGAAGTCATTAATATTATTTTAAAATCAAATTAGGTGTGAAATCGGTAAGTATATATAAATTAGACAAATATTAAAATGTATCACCCTTTTTAACACATACGCCACTGGTTAAGAGTTCCCTAGTAAACAAAGAACTATCTTTCATCCTTGTTTAATAGCAGGATGTCTCAAGTTGTGGAAAATCAAAACAATTCCTTTGCAATGTATAGGGAATTACTTGTCTAGTCATTCTGAGGTCTTTGATTGCTTCATTGTCCTTAAAATAAAATATCTTTTAATCTATTGATGATACAGATTCACGGTTTTCCTCATTTGATTCAGCATAAAATTCTCTATCATTTAGCCCAAATGATAGAGAACTTTATGGAAAGGAAATTATTCTTACAAGACGCAGATCGAGAGGCACCTTAAACTTCAAAGTATTCAAACTGGTATAACATTTTTTTCAAATGGAACTACCATTTTTTCTTCTTATCATTGGATGCAGATTTGAATTCCCTTTCCACTGATTTAACATTGTTGGTACTTATCTCTTAACAGTCCTTGAGAAACTTCCATTTATGTGAATTTCTCCCAAAACCGGCAAATACGTTTTCGTTAAAAACAAAGTAGGCGCAAAACAAAGTACACACCCTGTATATATAAATAATCGAAGCAACCTATAGGATTTGCAAAATACTCGGCCGAAGTTCTGGAGTTCCTAGGAATGGTGTATTCAAGTATATATGCCACTAGTTGTAATACAGTGTATCCCACCGGGAATCGCCGCGATCGATATCTGGAAAAGTACTTATTTGATAAATTTGAAAATTTGGCAACTTATCAAAGTCAGTGGGGGAAACGCAACTAAAATATTTTCAAGGTCATAGCACTTCCGGTTATACCGGAAGTCGACACCATCTTCGTTATTTTAAATGGAAACCCTATATATTTTTGCATATTTGCATTCTACTTGAAATTTTAAGGTCACTTTGTATAACAAACCTAGTTCCTAAAATTTATAGTTTTTGAGATATCGACATTTTCATGAAAAATTTGACACGTGCAAGGTTGTGCGGGATCCTTTGTATTTTATTCCAGCAACTAGATATCAATTTGAGATTCGGTACGTGAGTAGAACACGTATGGAGAAACCTTACACAATATCCATAAATTAGAAAATATGATACCGATTGTTTAATTTTCGACTGTACTGTTTGATAACTTCAGAGTTATAACTTTGTTAACTTAAATGGAACACCCTATATTTTTTTGGTCTATCTTGTGCAGTAATTAATTATCTTTCACGTGATGTAGGCATTGTAGGGGATGTGGTCACAACTTTTAGAGATAATTGCAATTGTTTACTTTTATCTTTATCAATTTTTATATAACTTTATAAACGTGATACATTTGCAGCGCGATATTCAGACAAACAAAACCCCTAAAGCAGAGTATAGTAAAGCGTCTGGTAGAAACTTTTTGACATTTCGACTCTGTCATAGTAAAACCAGACAGAGGAGTATCTGTTGTTGATAGCTAAAATGTCGAAATTTCAATATTCTAATTACTTCAGGACATTTCCAACTACATATGTGAATGAAGCAAACGGTTCGCAAATTTCAAAAATTTTCTGTCAGACGCTTTACTATACTCCGCTTTAGGGGTTTATTTTGTTTAGATATCGCGCTGCAGATGTATAAGGTTCTTGATATTGCTTTGTTACTTTGTCCGTAAATAATAAACAAATTAAAAAAATCTCATTACTAAAATGTTGCTACACACTATAAACTACAAATTATAATTTGACAGTTCGTTGTTTAATAGTTTGATTGTCAATAACGATTGTTCGTACTCATAGACCCCTTGATAAAATTATGTCAAAATTAAAAAATAAAAGTAAAAATTGCAATTATCTCAAAAAGTTGTAACCACAGCCCCTACATGCCTACACCACGTGAAATATAATTGTTTACTGCACAAGATAGGCCAAAAAAATACAGGGTGTTCCATTTAAGTTAACAAAGTTATAACTCTTTGAAGTTATCAAACAGTACAGTCGAAAATTAAACACTCGGTATCATATTTTCTAATTTATGGATATTGTGTAAGGTTGCTCCATACGTGTTCTACTCACATACCAAATCTCAATTTGATATCTGTTTGCTGGAATAAACTACAAAACATCCCACACCACCTTGCACCTGTCAAATTTTTCATGAAAATGTCGATATTTCAAAAACTATAAAGTTTAGAAACTAGGTTTGCTATACAAAGTGACATTAAAATTTCAAGTAGAATCCAAATATGCAAAAATATATAGGGTGTTCCATTTAAAATAACGAAGATGGTATCGACTTCCGGTATAACCGGAAGTGCTATGACCTTGAAAATATTTTAGTTGCGTTTCCCCCACTGACTTCGATAAGTGGCCAAATTTTTAAATTTTTCAAATAAGTACTTTTCCAGATATCGATCGCGGCGATTCCCGGTGGGATACACTGTACGAGCCCAGGCTCATAATAGTTCGGCCGGTAATAATTTGAAACTATATTTTTGAAGATAATATTAAACTTAAAACAAAGGTGCAAAATTTAATCAAAACTATTACAACTATATTCTAAACTATACTTTTAAGTAGCTGAAACTGAAAATTATAATTAAATTACGTAAAGAAACAAATCAGTATAACCAAAAATGTATTTCACGTGGTGGGTCATAATAGTTCGGCCAAAACCTAATATTGCGTTACGTCGCCTTTATTAGCAATAACCGCCTTAATTCTACTGGGCATTGTATCCACAAGTCGTGCACACTCTTCTGGTGGAATATTATTCCATACATTTTGCAAAGTAGCTTTTAATTCGGGTACTGTCCGCGCTGGATTTTTTCGAAGTTGCTTCTTCATGTTGTGCCAAAGTGTCTCGATTGGAGACAAATCTGGACTAGAAGACGTCCATTTTAGAACAGGAATGTTATGTTCTTGAAACCACGTCTTCACAGTTTTCGCAGTATGGCAAGGTGCACCATCCTGTTGGAACATGAAGTCACCGTCATCGGCTGCACATTGCGCGATAGATGGTAAAAAACTTGCTTCCAATATCTCCTTATATTTTTGGGCGTTAACAATTCCATCGATGAAGTGTAATTTGCCCACTCCTTTTGCAGACATACAACCCCATATCATGACTGATGCTGGGAACTTTACTTTTTTTACTAGA